CATAAAACTGCTTCTGGCTGCTGAGGATCAGTTGTCAGCCCACTTTAGATACAAAAGTTCATTTTGACTTTTCATTCCACAGCTGAATACATAATTTGCTCTGCATAGGGTTAGTTAGTATCTTTATAGGTTTTCATTAAAATATCATTCTATTCTATTATGTGAGTAAAGTCAGCATTGGAAAGTACAATTATTTGTGATGTGTGGGGGAGGGGTTTTTTCTTTGTAAATAAGATGCTGCAGCTTTAGGCTCAAAGTTCAACAAGGACTGCTCTTACCCTGAAAATTTTGTTTGACAGCTTTGTTACTCCCCATTAAAAGATGTTTGCCATTATTCTTGCATTGATTACACATAGACAGGCACCCAAACATGCATTTTTTCAGTTTTTTCTTCAGATTTTATTTGGCCCACATAAAAAATGCCCAAAGTTTCTGCTTCAGTAAATACCAGCAGCTACTAATGTGTCTGAAGTTAGAGGACACTGATTCTTTCGAAATACGTCTGCATGAGGTCTGCTCAGTGTTTTTGTGAGTAAATAATGGTTATTTTTAACCTGAACGCTTGTTTTAATCGAATGGTTAAATCCTGTTTTCCTTTAGCTATGCTACAAGATACTACTTTTACATGTAGAAAAGCTGATATTAATGTAAAAGTAGTAGATTTTAATATTCTTTTTTAACACACTTGAACTGTGTAAGAAAACTAGTAGACAGGTTTCAGATATTAAGAACATGAGGAACTGAAATGGAACAGGGGGATCAATGTTCCTGTGAACTACCTAACCAATACCATTGTTTTGCTGACTATTGTGCAGACATGAAATACATTGTTTAATGATGTTCCCAAACTTCAAGTTTCTAAGGAAAATATATTTTTGAAGTGTCTACTTAGCAGCTATGGTTTTTGACAAGGATTTTTATCCTTATTGCTGTGACAGACCCTAAAGAAAAATACCAAATTTTGAGAGATATTTTAAAAATATATCCTTGTTCTCAACTGAGACCTCTCTTAGGGAGAGAGTGTAAACAGCTCTTTCTTCTCCTTTCTGTGACTGCTGTACTTGTTCTAAATTAAGGAAATAGTGTTAATGTTCACTTTTTTTAGGATAAAGTTACAAAAATCAGTAAAATGCCTAAGAAACTGTTCTACTTGGCATCAACAGGTAGATTTCAGTGCAGCTCTGATTCTTCTCTCTTATTTATGAGTAGTTTACTCTGTAGTTACAACAGTAATCTAAAGCTTTCACTTTACCTTCCCAGTAAATCCCTAGAGGGTGAACCACAGTACAGATTCTTTGAGTTCCTGTGGCATATGCTGACCTTGCAGACTTGTCCAGATGCAGCTGAGTCCTCTTAAATTTCTGAATTTATAGGCATATGTGTGTGTCTGTAATTGTAAAGTTCATCACCTGTCAGGGAAGTTTTATGAGGATACTTTGAGACATGAATAGCAAATATTTTTAATACATATATATATTTATTTGTATGTGTACACACATCTATATATAACCACAAAAAACTCAACAAAATGAAAGAAAAACAAAATTAACAAAAGCTCTTGTCAGTTTTTGATATAAGCTTTCTGTTCCAAAGACCTGGATGTATTTTGGGTTTGGAAATCGGTGATTACAGTCAAAGAAATGAGGCAGCATATTGTGGGTGTTGCATCTTTTCCATCATGGGATTTATTGTGGGAGTTTCTTGTGCACATGGTGATCATTTACTGGAAGATTTTGATAGTATTATTGAAATATTAATGCCATGGGATTCAAAAGATAAACATTGTTGAAAAATACATAAGGCTGTCCAACTGTTTTGGCATATGAGCTGCTACTTAAACTGCAGCCTGCGCTACAAAGCACAGCCAGATGAATCTCTAGGGCACTTGCAGGGACCTGGCAGATGCAGTGGGTGTGGAACCTGGTGAGACTTCAGTCAAGTGGCGCAAAGAAATTGCTTTCCTTGAGCCTTGTTGTGAGCCATACTTGGCTGTTCAGTTACTGAGCAGATTGCTCAGATTAATAAATTAAGGTGTAAATTTTGTTACAGACCGCATCCAAATGCTTGACTGCTGTCTTAACCTGGACAGAACTCCTTAAGAGTGATCATGTCTGCTTTGTTTCATCCTTGGAGTGCATGCTCAGAGGTGGGAAAGAACAGGAAGTTGATTCAGAATTGGACTGAGGCAAGCATTAATAGAAACTTCTCCCTGAATAAACATTTAGCACAATTTTACATCAGGAATATGAATGAAGCTGCAAATACTCTTAACCTTTGAGTGTTGCAGCTGTAGCATGTTAAGGTACGATGCAGTTAATTAATACAACGTGGTGTCAACTAAACTCTTGAAATGCAAATTGAACGAAATACTAAAATGATATTTACTTCCGACTGTTCAGTTTCTAATGATCTCCACCATCCCAATCCAAGACATCCATTTAATGCAAATTAGGACAGTCAATTTCATGCTTTTACCCTATATGCCTTACTTCCTCATTCATTGCTTCTCTTAGATTTGATTTTTCCCTGTCTCATTAATGCTACAACTTGCTTGTAACTTTAGTGCATCATTCTCTTTCAAGGCAGACTTGTCTTCACTTTTAAAAATAGTCATTACTAAGTGATTTCTGTTGCCTCAAAATTGGTAGCAGTGGATGGGCCTTTTGTTGTGTGATGTTCCATCATATGTTTAAAAAATCTCTTTCATGCTGAAGTGTTTTTCAATATGAAAAAGCTCAGTTTTCTGTGTTCTTACTATTTAGAGCACTTTAAAATAGGGAGGGGTAGGCTCTTAGGACTACTAAAAGGACCTGTCTGCAGCTGGGATTAAGTCTGATTTATCTGGCAGCCAGAAGGGTTAGACTGTAGTCTCCAGAGCCAGCAAATCATTCCACAGAGCTGACATTCCTACTTGGATGCACTGTGTTAGACATTTTGGGTGTTTGAAAATCTGCAAAGCAGTTATTCTGACTTTGTTAGTGCCAAAGATGTGAGTTGAAATAACATACAGCAAAAATGTGCAACTTTGCCTACTAATTTCAAGCTTGGCAAATTCCTTTCAATACTGACCACATGGAATCTTATAGACATGGAACACATAGTAAATTGTATTTAAGAGCTAAAGAAAAACCAAAAACAAATGGGTTGTTTGACTGTTTAAAGCCCCACTTAGAGCAATCAAAGTTACAGTTTGGGGAAGAAGAAGGGAAGACGAGATCTGATGTCTTTCTGCAATTATGAATCACTAAAGCTGTGCTGCTGTACTTTGTAACACCCTCTTAACATTTTAGGCTGTAATTTCATTTTGTTCATATTAAGACCATCCTTTTTTTTTTTTTTTTTTTTTTTTTTTTTCCCCCAAAAATACTGGTGTAGTAGTTTAAATTTCATTTGATCTTTCATAGTGCCCAAATCTCTAGTACCTGGCAGGGAATCGCTAGTGTAGTACTGAGAGTCAGAAATCAGGTTCCATGATTTATTTCATAATTTTTAGGTTTTGACATGTTATACAGCAGTCTACCAATATTGCTCAAAGTTTGAAAGAAAACCAAAAAGCAAACCAGTTGTGGTTTGGGGTTGAGGATTTAGGGATTGTTCTGTTTTCTTTTGTTTTGTTGATTTTTTTTTTTTTTTTTTACCTTTTTAAATTTTTTGTGGGTTGTTTTCATTTCTTTTGGGGGTGATTTTTGTTTGTATGTTTTGTGGGAGTCATTTCATTTTGTGGGGTTTTTGTTTGGCAAGGTTTGTTTTTTTTTTTAATTTTGCTGTTGCTTTTCAAGTGTTTGCAATTGTTCTGCCAAAAATGTTTTGATAGGTCTCCTTTGCTGTATGTGGAAAAGGACCTGGGTGAGCATCTGCACTTTGAATACTTACACATACTTGCTTAAGGCGTTGGATTGTATTTTTAGACGTGTGAACTTTGTGCTACTAAGGAAACATACGTTCTTCCCTTACAGAGCTAACAATAAACTTAATTATGAAAGAGAGATGAGCTGAGAGTTAAATCTTCACTGATATGTGCATGCCTCAAGTGTGCTTGATATCGTACTTAGTTGTAAGTGTGTTTGTGGGTTTGGCACTAAAGTCAGCCCACAGAAATTATTTTTTTCTGAGAGGAGCAGCTAGAGCTTCTTCTGTGTCTGACAAAAAGCCAATCAGTGATTGTCTTGAGAACTGACAACTTACTAAACCACTGAGAGAGCTGGACACGCCTCTGTGAATATGCATTTTAAAATGAACAAGCCCCGGAAGTGCCCCTTCTTCCTTCCGCCTGAGTGAGAGGTAACACCAGCCTGGGCCTCTCCACACAGCCTGGGCCGGGCTGGATGGGCTCTGATGCAGGGCTTGGGAAGCTGCTGGGCCCCGTTTTCAGCTGGGGTCCCTGATAGGAAGGGGGAAGCAACCTGCTCAACTGCTAGGACCCTAACCCATCTTCCCCTCAGTGCGGCCAGGGGGCCTACTGTTCAGCTGAACGTCTAGCTGACATTAAAACCCTGCCCTGCCACTGGCCCTGGCCGAGCCAGGGGGTCCACGTGGCCCTGGAAGTGGCTCTGGGCCAGGCCTGCCCTGCTGCAGCCCCTATGGCCTGGCAGAGAGAGGGCTGAGCTAGGCTTTTCCCCTCCGGAATGGAATGCAGTCAAGCAACCCAGCACCCCTTCTGGCTGGGCCCCTGCTAAGGTCCTAGTCCAGCCCAGCATGGCGGCCGAAAAGACTCTCTATTGTAAATAGCTTCTGGTCACCGCCTGGAAGACTTGACAGGCCCGGGCAAGGCAGACACTTTGTTCTCTCTCCTGAGTGAAAGAAAAGGAAAGTTATAGACACGCAGAGAAACACCATGAAGACACCAAGGTCAGTGAAGTAGGAGTCATGTCCCAGATGGAAGGGGTTGATGGAGATACCTCACTCTTGGGCTGAAACCCTCTTTTGAGACTGTGGAGAAGATATGATTGCTATATCAGACTCTTTTTTTCCCTGTAGCTCATGAAATGCATTATGGTGTAGATGAAATGTTCTAAGTGTAGACATGAGCGGAGTAATTTATGCTAAAGTAAGCAGATGTTGAAGTGGCTGTGATCTTATGAGAAGCTTGAATAAAGAGGAGAGATGAAGATCCCTGCTGCCCCCCAGGGAAGAAGAAAGGCCTCTGTTTTCAAAGACAAAGAGAGCTTTTCTTTGAACTGTTACAATCCTTGAAGTGTGCCACCTAAATTGACATGGTTCTCAGTAACAGTTGTGGGAAGACTGTTAGTTGAGGAAGGGATTTTTACACAGTGATCAGATTTCCATTCTCCAGGGCAGCTGACTCACTGAGACACTGAGGCCACGAGAAAACTATTTCTTGTGGAGAGATCTCCATAGACTGAAGAGAAGTCTCCTCTCCCAAGTAAATTGGTGAAAGACTATTTTTAGAGATGGTAGACTGACTGATTTGTTTCTGTATGTTGTCAGTGTGAAAGAAAAAAAGTTGTGGGAGGAGAAGTGTTTTGAAAGTTTTATTCTGATTCTTCTTATTTTTTTTCTTATAGTTTCTAGTTATAAGTTTTTCTTTATACCCTTTAAAGTTGCAGCCTGTTTTGCCTTCTTCCTAATCCTGTGTCGCAGCAGGAAATGAGTAGATAATTCTAGTAAGTGCACTGGCAAATTGGCCAATGCCAAAGCAGCGACAGTACACTATATCTTTTTTTGCTCCATTATAGGAAGGAAATAATGGGTTTGATAGTCATGCAATGCAGAAGTACCTAATACTTAAAATTCTTCTGTTTTCTTTCTCAGCATTATATTGTTCATTAATGTTACCTTTGCCTATTTATATACCGATTTTAAAGACACGGTTTTTTGAAACTATTTATGAACAGCTCTTTTTTTTTTTTTTTTTTTTTTTTTTTTTTTTTTTTTTTTTTTTTTTGAGGATTTTTTTTTTTTTTTAATTGAGGATTTTTTCTTGAGGAACTACATTTTCCCACACATAAAACTATGGAAAAACTACATTTACAGTAAATAAATCTGATTATTTTCTGTCTGTTAAAGCCTGGAATCACATGATCTTTTGGAACTTCGTTTCCTGAGAAGGGATATATGGGTATAAAAGCCACGATTGTGTTTTACAACGTATAACAGGTATAAAGCCAGTGAAATACCCAACCTTTTGTGGTAGTGATGGGTATAAGTGCATGAAAGTTGCTAAATATACCTGATTTCCAAAATGTCCTAGCAACTGAACTGTTTAATTAAAAATTTGTAACAAAGTGTTTCAGGCTGTTGCTTCCCTAGGACAAATGGGGTACTGCTGCTGATTTTCTTTGCATTACTTAAAGTGAAGTGTGGGGACGATCAAGTCAAAACTAAGATTTGATCTCAAAACTAATTAGTTGTAGCTCTCCTGTGTTTTGGTTTGGAGTTTTTATATTGTTTAAATTTTCAGAGGTTTGAAAACTAGACATTAAGTTTTTCTACCAAAAATGTGAAATCATCAAATCAGATATTCTAAATCTTAGCCAAAGATGCTGACAACATCAGGCCTAGAACATTTTTTCAGAAGTTAGGAGAAACCTTTAAGAAGAAATTGATTTATAAAGCATGGATTTCTATTCTCCAAGATGAGAAAAGGTGGGATGAGTTACAACAGTTGCCTAGTTTCAGTGATACTTTGGTTCAGCCAAAGAAAACATACTTCCTGTCTGCTTTCTTCTGTTTTGATCTGCTAACTGTTGTTTCTTACCTTGCAGAATAAAAAGGTGTGATGTGAGATTCTCAAATCTGGTTCACTGTATCTTCACAGTTCATAGAAATACAAAGCACAGGATAGCAGAATCTGGCAAACAGCTGGCACGTTCTGTTATGTTTATGGCTTTTTGTAAGATTGTCTGCCAGAAAGGACCATACTCAAGAAAAGATGCTCAGATAGAAGACTTTGAACACACTTCCTCTAGAAACAAAGTGATTGTTGGTACTTGGTCTTTTACAGAGGGTAGAATACTTTGCTATTCCAGTTGACAACAATCCGGCAGAGGAAGAAAGGGAGTTTAATTTGAGATCTGCTTAGGATTTAAGACCAAAAGCTTAGGAAGAAGAATTAACATTAAGTACTTTTGAGAGAAATTACCTTTGTGGTTTTGGTAACTTTTAGAATAAGCCACTGGTTTCGTTTAATTTGAACATATCATCTCAGTTGAAAAGCCAATGTCTTTTTGCCAATCTTTATCTTTTTTCCTCTAGTGAGAAAATGAAATCTTAGGTCTTGGTTGGCAGCCACTCATTAACGTACCATAAACCTATGCCTCACAGAGAATGCCATTCTGAGCCATTGTGTGGTTGTTATCTGCTCTTTGTTGAAGATGAATAGAATTAGCTTTGCTGTAGGAATACTTGATTCTTCCATGGCAAGCACAGAGCAAAGAGCAGAGATGGGTGAGAGCAAAGCTCCATGCAGAGGAGAATGATGTCCAGGTGTAGTGGGCTGTCAAAGTTTGCCCTCTTACTGTAGAGGAATTAACATGTACAGGGGAAAGGAAGAGAGGAGAAGGAAGCCCTTGTGGTTGAATCTCCTGCAGTTGTAATCTTTGTGTGTTCGTATTAGCAAAGCATTGCAAGAAAAAGCTGAGAGCTTTGAACTGAGCTTTTTAAAACTTCCTGCTGGAAAAAGGAATGCTCAGAGCTAATGTTTTAGGCTTTAGGAACCAGTTGTTTTCCAGTTTCAGGTATTACTTTTAATTTTGCTTGTTTCTTTTGTTTTTTTCTGTTTAATAGTTGCTTTTCCAACAGTGGAAAGTAATTGGTTCCATGTTCATACTGCGGATAGAGTCCAAAGTTAATTTTTTGAGTTTTAGTTTTAAATTTTGTCATTAATTTTATGGGGATTTTGACTTTTTCTTCCTTTTAATAATAGACAATATTGAAGAGTAAGCTACAACCTGGTTTATGTTTTTAGCGTCTTTTGTGTGTTCAATTTTTTATTTGGATATATTCTAAGGTCGAGGTCAATGTTGATAAAGTATTTGTAAAATGTGTTAAAATTTGGAGATAACTTGTACTACGTGAGAAGTCTTGATTTATTATGGTTTGCCACTGTGGGGACACTTCCACACTACTTGTTTTTGAGCAACAAAGTAGGATATTGCCTGTTTTCTCCTGTGAGGGTACTGCAGCTACTTTGAAGATGGCAGCAGGCAGTGTTTTCAGTTTAAAAAAAGATGGGCAACTCTTAATAAGCAGGTAGAATGATGAGAAATTAAACAGCTCTCACATGTTGATGTGTAATCTAATGAATAACTGTGCAGCTTGAGTCTTTCATTTCAAGATTTAGTTCCACTAAGTGGAGGAGGTGTGTTTTGTAGTGGTTCTGAGTATCTTGCAGGTAACACAGCAGTCCCTGAAGGTCTGACATCAAAGTTTCCCTTAGCTGAGCAAGCAGGTAACTTCAGGAGGACTTTTCCAGAATGTCTGAATGTAATTACACCGTATCTGTTTTTCAAAACAAGAGAAAGGAGTTCATTAGGCAGTTGCATGAAGTCACTTGACATTCAGTTGCTCTTCAGGACATTTTCTCCTAAGCAGGTCAGAATGTATCTGCAATGAGCTATGATCTGGTTTTTAAGCTATATTCTTTCTGGTTTTCTTTCCAATTTTTAGTTTGTGTATCACCAGTAAGAGTTGTTTGTTTTAGATTTTTTTGTGTTAGTGTGACAGGATAGTAGAGGCCAAATAAAATAGGGTAAAGGTTAAAAAATAAAAATAAAATAAGTGTAACCTTTGACTGTTGCAGTTCTCATCTTTTTAATGTGTTTTGTATTCTATAATAAAGGGTAGATCTTACTTTTTTTCTTAATGTGTCATTTTTGGATACAGTTTTATCATTCTGCTCTATGAGTTCCAGTGCTTGTTCCTGCAGCAGTTCACTTCAGCCTGTTGCCTTTTTATATTAGCATCGGAAATACCTATTCCTTTGTGTTATTGTTACAATACTAGCTTTGCAGAAATTTATTTGACAAGTGGGAAAATTGTAATCATGTAACTTCATTTCCAGATCTTCAGTTCATTAGCCAACTTGGCTAAAATCTATAAAATGTACCAATTCTATTCACTTTGAAGTTTTAGTAGCATTTCTGTTGTTGTTGGCAAAGTTTCCACTGTTAGTATTGTGTTCCCCTGAGAGAGTTTGTAGCTTGCAAGAAATCTTACTGGTATGCAGACAGTAATATCCCAGGCTTTGTTTTATGCTGCGTTGTGCCATAATAGTTTTATGTCTGTTTCGATTTGACATCTCAATTAGTTACTTACTGGAATCACTGTTTTCCTTTCTGAAACTCTGTTTTCAGTCTGCCCATGAAAACAAAATTATTTTCTTGTTAGCGGACATTAATTTGAATATAAAAATTAATTTAGTTGTCCTGGAGAGATTTTTCTGCTCTTCACTCCAAGAGAGTTTCTTTCTTTTGAAAGAAAAATCTATTGCGGATGAGTGGAAGGTGTGGTGGACATAATACTCTCACATCTTTAAGTGAAACAGTGTGTGTAAAACAGACTGTGATTGTATTGCATTGCAAAGAAGGCAGGATGTTGGTTCATGCATCACATTTGCAAGATACCTCATGCATCATCTGATTATTATGCCTCTCTCTGGCTTTGTGAATTTTACTTTGGGAACTTTTAAATACTCTCTTCCTGAATAATTGTAATTAGCTTTCTGGGTTTCTTTTTCTATATTTAAAAAAAAAAATTAAAATATTTTCCTGTGGAGATTTGAGTTATGTATAACATCAGATATAAAATGTGTGTTGATTTTTAGAGGCAGTATGTTAACCCTGGCATGAGTGTGATTGTAGCTGTTCACCTTTCAGTTATATCTAACCTCTTTTGTCTTCAGCATGAGTTTTGTTGCATATCCCAACAGGGAATATTTGTATGTTAAAACCAGATCATAGTGTTACAATAGTCTTGGAATAAAATAGGAAGTTTTCTGCCAATTTGATATGAGAAAAGGCATTTTTGGATTTTGATAAAGTTTAGGAGCCAATACGTGTGCCTAGATTGCCATTTTCTTACCAATTCTTTCCTTTGTTGCAATTCATGGACAAATTCACAGGAATTAAATCACCATTGCTTGTAAAGATATTTTCTTCCCACCTATTACCAGTTTTCTTGATTTACAGATGAGGCAGCTGCTAGTACAGATTCTTTCTTCATTTAGATACTGAGTGGGAGGGGAAAAGTACTGTCTGCTGCAGATATGAGTGATATGAGTAACTGTTTTTCATCGTTCTGTTGCCACTATTTGAGCTCTTGTGTTTAGACAAATGTTGCTGAGACGGAAGATAGGCAGGCCAGATTTGGTAGCTTTCAAAAAATAAAGGTTGTACACAAGACATAGCTACTTTCTGGAACATTAGTGAAACATTAGTAAATGGTGAATACCATAAAAGAAGGTTAGACAGCATTTATTTGTGCTCTTTGCTGGTCTTTTGTGTTCCCTGCTTCTTTGTTATCTGTGTGCTGGCCCTTCCATTTCAGTGGATGCAAAATCAAACAATCAAAATCTAAAATTACTCTGAAGGTGTAAACTTGTAGTAAAAGTTATTTTTATTTGAGATAAGTAAAAATACTCATGAGTATTAAAAGTAAAACAAAAGTAAATTCTTAATACATGCACAAGCACAATGTATGAAGTATTCAGTATATTCCAATAAATCTATTTTTAAAGTTTGGAAATTTTTGTGGGATGATCCATTTTCTTAGTCTCAATAAAATTTGATGTAGGCTTAATATATATATTTTTAGTTAAGCCCAGGATACAAAGTTTTCCTGTCCAGTCTTTTCCCTTCTATTTTCTTCCACATCCCTCCTGCTCCCCACCATGTATTCATACCTTTCTTTCTGAGAAGGTTGATTTGGGTTTTCTTTCTGTTTCATGAAGGAAGAATACATTTTCTGCCTCTGGAAAGAAAAATAGCTTTTCTTCCAAAATACTTGAAAGCAACTGTCAAACATCAGATTCTGTTTAACATTGCTTGTTGTTTGGGTTTTGTGTTAGGAGGTGGGATCCCAGCTTTTCACTTAGTAAATTTTCTTATTCAGCAACTGATTTGAGAACTGCTTGACATGGTAAGAGATAATAGTGTTATTGCATTAAGAAGTCATTAATTTTAGGCTGGTTTTTGTCTAGGTTTTTATCCCGTTTTTTGGTAAAGATGGCAGCCAACAATGCAGTGCTGAACAGACTGGAGCAGAAGGGTGCAGAGGCCGATCAAGTTATTGAGTACCTCAAGCAACAAGTTGCCCTGCTCAAGGAAAAAGCCAGTAAGGATTTACCTATCTTATGCTAAACCTGTTAACCAGATGGTTAAAAGTAAATGCACATAGGAAAAAACGAGACTATGTGGTGGTGTCAGCCTTTAAAGCATGTTTCAAGTTCTCGAAATTAAGCCTTGTAACAGTAGCACCACTTCACTGTCCTGTGGTTTGTGGGGTTTTGCTTTGTTTTGTTTTTTTTTGACGCTGCTTATTCTGAAATAGAAGAGGTGTGTATGAGGAAGAATTAATACACAAATGATGGAAATTTGATAGGACATTATTCTATTTGAAGGGAGTGAGGGAGTTGGAAAGAATACGAGACTATGCCTTATCCTGAATTTATAACTGTTTTTTTCACAGCTATGGCATTCTCTCAAGAGTGTCACACCTTCAATATTTTGTACCTAACTGTATCAGTAGGTAAAGATGCTCTGTATTACAAACATTGTCAAAATTTTTCTGTAGGTTTCTTGAAGGTTTTTTCTTGTGGTTCTGTTTAGGGGACTGACAAAATAGTATATTGAATGACAACTTGATTATATAAGTATTGTAAAAATGGCTATTTCAACAATAAAGAAAATAATTCCTAATTAATAATTAATAATTATAATTAATAATTCCTAATCGGAAGTATTTCCGATTATATACTCCTTGAAAGTTTTCACTTTTGTGCTGTTTGGCTCACGATGTTTCACTTTTCTTTAAAAACAAACCTCTTTGTCCAAAGTGATGAATGCTGATTACTGAAACCTGGTTTTTTTAAATGTGTCTGCTCTAGTCTTGCAAGCATCTCTCCGAGAAGAGAAGAAGCTCCGTGTAGAAAATGCTAAACTGAAGAAAGAAATTGAAGGGCTGAAACAGGAGCTGATTCAGGCTGAAATTCGAAATGGAGGTGGGGGAAAAAAAGTGCTATCCTCATATAACATAGATGTAGTTAGTACAAAACTATTTTAATTCTTGATTTTTATTGTTCTGTATGCGACTGTGGTATTTCTTACAAACTCTGGATTTTCCCTGGTTCCATGCCTGTGACAAGTTACTTGATTCCAACATTTTAATAAGCTGCAGGCCTGACAGATCCATATACTAAAACAGACATAGGACTAGTTCTTTGTATTTTTTTGTTCAGTATCTTTCATAATAAGCCATGAACCTCACTGATAAAGATGTCTCCTTGAAATATTGAAGAAATTGCTGCATGTCATTCATGTAAGAATAACTCTTTTTGCTACTTTGAGTATTTAAACTATCACTATGGAAAAATCAAGCCATGGTGCAAACAGGGACTTACTAGGAAAGCTGTGGTAATGTAAATTTAGAAACAATGTGGTCTGAATTTATGATTCCATGCTTTAGACCAGCCTTCCACTGGACTTCCTTCTTTGCTCTCCTCTAGGTAGTTCTATTCAGCTTGTACCATCATTATATACTTATATTAAAAAACAAAAGAGGAAAAAAACCCCCAGAACTGAAGTGCTTCAGATACACTGTTTTGTCTTTTAAAATTATTGCCAAAAATCCTCTTCTGCCCTCAACAGTTATTGCTATTAACCCATGCTATCAGTATTGTAAATTGTTAAACATAGTATCCAGTGTATCTCGATGCTAGTGTTTAACTGTACTGAATGTTTTACTATAACGAAAGCACATTCAGTCTTCAAAAACATTAACACATTGTGAATACAGAGAATTCTTTTTGTCCTTTGGACACCAGTAAAGCCTTTTCATGTACTAAACAAAACCATTAATTGTATTTTTCTGGTGTCTGTTAGTCTGCAGCAGTTCTTGACAGGTGTAGGATATTTCACAGAATCTGTTGTGCTTGAGAGAGGTCTCAGGGTATATTGGTCCAAGGTGGCAAAGGAAATGCTTGACGTGCATCTTCCTTTAGTTAGCTAGTTCATCTAAATGGTAGTAGGACTAAATTCAGATATTTTCTTTCAAAGGAAATAGATGCTTGTTAGCTTTCAAAGGACTAAGTAGTTGAGCACAGAAATTAGATGGACACAGAAGATCAAAAATATCAAAAGATATTTTTTCAAAAACCTGAGAAACAAAGACTTTCCCCAACTAGCAAGCAAATGGTTGTTGGTACAATTAAAATGATTTCAGAAAGTTGTTTATAAGAATATAATTTGTGCAAATCACTTCCATGTTGAAGAGGACAGGCATCAACTAAAAAAGTGCTCTTCTTCAGGAAGGTTAGTAAATATCTGAAATGCAAAACAATCCATGTGTGCAGAATGGAGAACTCTATAATGGTGACACCAGAAGGATTTATCAGTCGTTAATGATAAAACAGCCTGGATTGAAAGGAACTTCAAAAGATCATCTCATCTGTCCTTTCTTGGAAAAGGGAGCCTTGATCAGTCTAGTGCACTGATGATGCTTACGCAGTACAATTATTGGGTTGAAAGCCTTGAGGAGATTCTTGAAGAGCAGAATGTAGAAGAGAGGTGATTGTTACACTTCTGTCTGGTAAGATTGATAGTGCAATGTCCAGAATTCTATATTAGCAGTTTAAAAAGAGCCCATGAAGTTAATGTGGAGAATTTAGGGAAGGGAAGTGAGAAATCAGCAGATCACGTTAGGGCTGCAGGTAATTTTGTTTTATTCGGGCTCAGTTTCTTAAGTTAATCGTAAGAGCTGAGGGATGATCTGAATACACTATAAAAATGATTTTAAATTATAACTCACTTATAGGATAGTCTCCAGTATGACAAGAGCTAGTAGCTATAAACTGAAACTAAACAAATGAGAAATAGGGAATTGGTAGAAAAAATAACTAGATATTGAAATAAACTACAAAAAGAGATGTTGTTGGCATTTATATATTTTCTTGTATTTAGCACTTTTTCGCATTTAAAAAATGTGTAGTCAAACACTTCGTTTTAATTGATCATAATAATCATATATAGATTGAGTTCTGAAACATGTTTTGTAATGTGATTCACTACTCAGCAGTTGTGGATTAGAGTATTAAGCAAAATTTTCAGTTCTCTCTGCTTTTTCATGTATGTTGTACACTTAAAAATGTCAGTGTTCAAAGTTCTGGTACTGCCCTTAACTTCTGTGGTTTTGATTTTAGTAAAGCAGGTTGCAGTTCCTCCTGGTACAACCCTCTCTACAGCTTCATTTTCAGAGGATGTTCCACAACCTGCAGCAGTTACAGCATCTTCTGGTTCCAAAGATCAAATTAAAGGTGAAGATGAAGAAAAGAAAAAGAAGGAAAAAGTAGAAAAAAAAGGTAGTTCGCTTTTCTTATCTCTGATAGACAGTTGAGGTATTTAATTTATGCAAGTGCTTTTGCCTGATTTTGAGCATAAAAAGTAAGTTTTCACACAGCTACAGTAAGAAGAGTCATGTGCTAGCTCTTAAATCTTTAAAGTACTTGAAGCTAATGAGGGCAGTCAGGTAAGCTACAGATTCTTCCTTGCATATGGGATATATGCCAAATTCTGTTTAATGTGACTGCATTTTAAAAACCACGACTAACCAAAAACAAGGCATGTCTGTTGGACACCTCTACTTTTGTGCAAGTGTATCTCGTAACTTAAACCTATGTTTTGCAATCATTCTCTTATGCAGATTATTATTAATTTGCTATGATTAGGTTTGTACAGGTTTTTAGAATTTGGATATTATGGTAGTGTACTGTCTCATTTTTCTGGTGAGCTGTACAGAGACTTATAAGCTGTTTTAAATTTTTTTATGCATTTCAGCCTTTGACATATTCATATTCCACAGAGCTGTAAATACAAAAGCAGAGGCCACATGTCATATCAGGCAATTAATTTTTTCCCGCAAGTATTCAATGGCTACAGAACAAGTATTCAGTTGGTAAGGAAAAATAAAACCTTTCTATATATGATGAGGGGAAGTACTATAGAAGTATCTTAAATTCAGTCAGACACAGATTACAGAATATGCTGAATTGAAAGGGACCCACAAGGATCATCAAGTCCACCTCTTCAGGGAATGGCCCATACAGGAGTTGAACCCACAAGTTTGGTGTTATTAGCACCATGCTCTGACCAACTCAGCTCATCTCACATGGAAAGCAAGTGTTAGACTTTTGCCTTCTGCTGAAATATAGCACGAACTTTAAATAGTAGCCCTGTACAGGCTATTTCTGTGGAATTCAGCATCTGTTGAAGGTATTGCATTTAATAGTTCAAGTAACCAATCTGTAAAATTTGTTTTTAAGTCTAGAAATTAATTAATTAAAGTCTAGAAATAATCTAGACTGATTTTATTAATCAAATTGTCAATTACATTAAAAAATCGCAGTCATAATCACTAGAGCTTTTTATTCATCATAATTGAACAAATATTTTTGAAGAGCTGTTGCTTATATTAAAAAAGTATTGCCTTTTTATTATTGAATGTACCATTTAATTTCAGGCCTGTACTAGAACAATGATGAGTGAAATCAAATTGCATGTTGTGTCTACTTTTCCTTTTTTGCTCCCTTAAGAAGGGAGTTTAATTTACATTAATATGTAAGTTATCTTGGATGAAAGAATAGCAGAATATGCTTATTTAAAGTAAGCACATCTTAGACTTTATTAATCTCCCAGAGATTATCGCTGTTAAACAAGTCTTGAATGTCTCCTAACCAGCACAGTCTTTTCCACAAACTGGTTGTAACTTGCTCATCTTGAAAGGTATATTGCATATTTTATGATGCTATGATTTAAATAAGCAGTTGAGTGTGGGGAGTGTTGCTTCACTGTTGTTTTATACTGTACAGTCTGCACAGGTGATCATCATGGAGTTAGGCACCACACCAGGGGAAATCTCATAAACCACGAGCATTTTCATGCACTGTAGTGTTTGGGAAGTGCAGAATGTTGGCTAAGGTCATCTTGAAGGGTTGCACTGCAGCTGTGACAGTGCAGCTGCAGTGACTTCACAGCTCCTGACTGTGTACAGTGCTGATAAGCACTCGTAACCTGATGGACTGTGATTCCCTAGTTTCATTTTGGTGGTGAAACACCATGGCAAGGCCTCCTGGTAGTTCCTCATTATTCAAATGGAATGATTAGGCTTATTGATGTGGCCTTTGTTAGAGTATGTGTCTCACTTACACACGTTAGCTGCACTTAAATTCAGGGTGACTTTACAAACAGGTGGTGGTAATTAGTTGAGGTAATTATGTAAATTGTGTATGGTGATTCATCACTTGAAACTGGTAACAGAGGTGCTCACTCTTTACTCTTCTTTTGTGTTTTGCACAGAATTTCTGCTTATTTCTGAGACTGTAGCTCGCTTTTTCTTTGCAGTAGTCATATACGTTAGTTGTGCTTTTTTTAATGCTTATTTCATTAGCAAAATGTTCTCTTAATAGGTGAAAAGAAGGAGAAGAAACAACAGCCAGCTGCTGGAAGTAGTGATGCAAAACCTGTAGATGTTTCTCGTCTGGATCTTCGTGTTGGCTGCATTATTACTGCCGAAAAGCATCCAGATGCAGACACTCTGTATGTTGAACAAGTGGATGTTGGTGAAGCAAGCCCAAGGACTGTTGTCAGTGGTTTAGTGAAACATGTTCCTCTGGATAAGGTATTGACAAAATTATTTACTGATAGCTTTTCCCTTTCTGAAGTATCTTAAGGCATTCATCTGTTTATAGGATATGTTTTTGTTCTGCTAAAAGATTAGTACAGTCATGAAAATAAAAATAAAATGCAGATGGAAGTAATGCTTAGCAGCATTTGCCAGAAACCAGAGAAGTATCCTTACCCCCAATCAGTTTCTGATTGTAGTGCTTCTATTCTGGGATCTTATTCCAATTCCTCTGCCATCGGTACACACTGGACTCCTAAACTAAACAGATGTTAATCTTCTTTAGGTTTCCTAATATGTAGTAGAGAAATCATAGCAACTTTTTTGGTATGATCCAAACTTTTGAAACCTTTGCCTTCCAATTCTCTTTTATAGCCTGTTGAAATATTTGGCATAAAGTAAAGAAGAGAGCATGTAAATTAAACTTAGCTGGTAATGAATAGCTTAAACAACAGTGGAATATGAAATGCATATTTTTACTTCCTTGTGCAGAATAGAATCTGCGTCTGTGCTTTTTTTATTTGATACATTTTGGTATTTGACACAGATGGCTTATGGGTGCCTTCGAACAGCCTAAGACTTCAAGATTTAGTTTTCCTTTCACACCTCTTTTAGAGAGTGAGAGGAATTGACTGAAGGCTGTTTCTAAATTCAAATGCAAGCTTGGCATTTAAAACAGTGTTGTGTAGAGCAACTGCAAAATGGATCATGAAGGAATTGATCTTAGTCTGGAAAAAGCTCCACTTTCTTAAATGTCTTTTCAATCCTTATTTGCACACTGTCCCCATGGTAAGACTGCAAGCATAGGAAGCAATTAAAATCGTGATTGTTGTTTTTATGCTACAGAAAGTTACTGAACAAAACAAAAACAAAACCAAACTGAATACAGTAACTATTCTGCACTGATCACATCACTCGATGATGTCCACTTACTGGATTTGCACTGGGCAAAATCTCAACTTGCTTGCTTTTAGCAGTCTGCTTTCAAGAAAGCATGTAGAACAAAGCATCTTTAAGTCCATTCTAGACTTACAAACATGAAGTGTATAGAATGAAATGGCAGCACGAGTCTTTTCTCTTTAACCTTCTTTCTGAGTGGAAAAATAAGCTGAAGTACTCATTAACAGAGAATTAGGGATCATCCTTGCACGTTCTTTAAAAACATTTTTGTTTGTGTGTCTGTTTGCGGTTTTGGCAAGTCTCTATTAAGACAGTAAATTCTTAGGGGCAAGATTCCATCTTTGTATTTTTGAAATGTTCAAAAATGTGAAGGCCTGGCATGTGTCTACTGCCATATATTGAAATAAAAATATATACGTCAGATCAAGGACCATAGCCATAAATTTATTCACAAAAATTTCAGCTGTTCATAATTTTGGTGTTTGATGTGGTAATTTAGCACTGTTTGAGGCTGTAGTATTTGTATCATCTGATTTTACTTTTGGTTAGGAAACACAGTATGTATCTTCACTAACATTTCAGTATGCAGTGCAAGTTATTTATGGGTGTGAAAACTTCTGGCACACCCACTTTATATGTGAAATGCTGGGGTTTTTTTTCACATGGTGGTGAAACCATGTCAGAAGTTGCACCTTTTATTGTCGTGAGCAATTGTGTCACAAGTAACAGGGTATGGAAGGATTTTGTCATATGGTGGACCATGCCATTGCTGAGCTCTTCTGGCAGCTGGGGACAATTGGGGAAATATTTGAAATGTCAAAAGGAATTGACAGCTTTTCTGCCACTGCATTTGACTTTTTGAAGTGGATCTCTTCCTGTCCCTAGCTTTAATACTTGTATCAGGCAATTGTTCTTGAAATTCAGGTAATTCTCCAGTGTCACTTTTTGTCACCTCCTCCTCTTAAACCTAAGAGAACCTTATGTCAGTGATTCTACAGCCATTCATTGGAAGAGGATACATTGCAGTTACATCTGCTATGAATAATATACTCTAATTTTTGTAGCAGGAACTTTTTCTTCCACTTAGATGCCTTGAAATCTTTTCTTTTTAGATCTTTGTGAGGTCCACCCAGTAATTAGCATTCCATTCATTAATTGTTATTCAGTGCTAGATGATGCTACAACTTGCATTTTAGTCACTGACCATTTTTTTATGTTTTGCGCTACTTCTTTCCATAGCAATAACTTGGGAAATTTTCAGTCAATGGGCTGACGTGAAACTTATGCAACATAACTTTTTCTTATCAACTCCTTCATTTTGGCTATTTCTACTTTTGCTATTCAAGGTGTTCTCCTTGGAAAATATGCGGTATTTGAAATAGTTGATCATATGAGTTTCATTAATTATTAAACCTGCAGGTTTTGTTCAGAGTTTGTACTGTGATGCACAAACCAAAATCTAGAAATATTAGATACTTATATATAATGTGTACTTAGTAGCATGGGAATTAAGGTGTCTTTATTTTATCTCTTAAGAATGTTCAGAGTTTAATTTTTATTCAGTTGGAAAATGTGGCTTGTTTTAGAGTCTGAAGTGTGACAGTTTTGCTGAACAGAGAATATTTTCTCTGGTTTACTATTGTAATTATTAAAATAAAACCACAAATGGAGAAACATAGTTTTACAGGTTTGTGCTAACAGATTCAGTGTACAGTGTATACTGCCATTTTCAGTGGTTAAAAAAACCTCGTGGCATTTAGGTTAACTAAGATAAAGTTTAAGATTCAAGTGAGCTCATTATGTAAACGACCTCTGAGCATGCAGGATACAATTTGAATTTTTTATCTATGGGCCTAATTTGTAGACTTGTTTTGCTGTTGTTACTTTTGGTATTATCACCATTAAATTATTATCATCAGTAAATACTGCTATACTGAAAGTGGACTAAAGTGGTGGTCTTTAATGAATAAAGATGGAATGCAAGTGAAATGCCTTACCTGGTTTTTAATTTTCTAAATTGCGTATTTTATATTTCCATGATAAATATGTCACATTTCAGCAATTAATCCCTTATTCATTGGCCAGCTCTTAATGGGTTTAAATATTATGTTACTGGTGTCCAGGCATTAAAATTGTGAATCTTTTGCTATATGCTTCTCTTACACTTCACTTGTGGTAAAATCTCATCACTGTAATTCTTTCATTATAATGAAATAATGGGAGTCCCCCAAACCAGACGGCATTTTAACAACTCACATCCTTCTGTTTTCTTCCCACAAGATGCAGAATCGGATGGCAATATTACTCTGTAACTTGAAACCTGCAAAGATGAGAGGAGTCGTATCTCAAGCAATGTTGATGTGTGCCAGCTCCCCAGAAAAAGTGGAGATTCTGGCTCCTCCACTTGGAGCAGTACCTGGGGACAGAATCACTTTTGAAGGTTTTCCTGGTAAGTAGGTATTTGGGGAAAATGATAGAAATAGGTATGCCAAGGTAACTTCAGCGTTGAAGCACATAAAACAGCTTTTTTAAAATTTTTAAATGACTGCATTTTTGTTTAATTTTTCTGAATTAATCCTATTATATTTTGTATTATCATGCTAATATTGTGTAAATAAAGAATTGAAAATACTTAATCTGTCAAAAACTGTAACTTGATAAAGTTGTATAGAACTTTCATGTAAAATACCCCATTCCTTTAAGTCTCAGTAAGTATTTCAGTTTTGAAATATATGGATGAACATATTTGTACTTGGTAAATTGCAGCAAGCAAATGTAAACCATCTTTCACAGTGTCTCAGTGTAAGTGATAAAGTATTAAATTCCTAATTCCAGCTCTTCCCTTTAATGAAAGTGTCAGAACTTTGGGTAGATGTTTTTTGGAGGGAGAAGGGATAGAGGGGATAGAAGGGGTTGGAAGTCTCCTGTTCATGAGAGAAGCCCATAATATTCAAAACACGAGGGCTTTTATGTTCGTTTGTCTAGGACAAAAATGTCTTTTTAGGTTTCCAAAGTCAGTCAAATGCCAGTTCATTATTCTCAGTCTAAAAGGAATACAGTCAGATCAACTTCTTCTGTTGCTGTATTTGTTAGCACTGTTATTTTGTTATTTTTATAATGGTTATGAGTATTTTCATCAGGAAGTGCTGGTTCATTATGATCCCAGTACAAAAGGCCCTCATACTCTAAAGTGCCATTTAAAATGACGTTTATTGGAGCTGAGTCTGAAAAGGGAGACTAGTATAAATATTCTTACATGGCACAGATGATGGGAGTGCACATGCAGCGTGCTGTGAACTCCTTGTCTATAAGGAGAGTTTCTTCCCTTTCCATTGTTTGAGTTATTGCTGTATTTTTTTACTCATTCTGGCTGTCAGTCATAAAGGAAGTTTGTGTGAGAACTTGGTGCTGCCCTGTTTGAGGACACACAGGTGGCTCAGTTGCTGGTGCCACATGGGAGCTGCTTGTGGACTCCTCTCTTACAATCTAGGTTTATCCTGCACCCTAGGAATTTAGAAATCTGTGCAGCGCAGCACAGCCCAAGCCCAGATCTACTTGGGTCAGGTGTTAAGTGGATCATGGAGGTCTTGGTGAAGAGTGCTCTTCGGATCAGGATCATTCCGTTGCTTTAACTTGAAAAACGTGGTCCAACTCCCAGTGTTTCCCATTCTGAGTGAAAGTGTATGTGTGTGCATTAATCAAGTATTCATCTTCAGGATGAATTTATTGTTCAAAAGTTGGCTTTTACATATGAGAGAACGGCGTAACTTTTATTTTCTGCATAAAGCCATATGAACCTTTTTAAACGATTGCATTTCTGACAATTTCTTTCAGAAATACATATGCGTATATATTTATATACTTCTCAAGAGTGAAATTGTGATGCTTTAAAAGAAAGATATATTTTGGTTAGAATATGATAAAGGAAGCAATGCTCTATCTAGGTGCTTAATGAAACAGAAAAATAGCTCTGCTTGCTGTGATTTAATGCTCCAGTTGAAAATACTTTAAAATAATACTGTGTTTTAAAAGGAAATCAGTCTGACAGCATTTTGGTTTTTTTAGTTTTAGTTTTCTGTATTGAAAATATACTAAGCTTGCTAGTTGAGATGCAGAATTCATTAGCTATACTGAAATCTTAAATGCTTCATCAATTGCATTGACTGATTTGGAGGAATACTCACTCATGGCTTCTAGTCATTATCACATACAGTGATTAAGATGGATTAAATGTTGGACCTTTTTTACCTGTGTGAATCACAGGTAACAAATACACTCATATTACTTTCTGTTGCTGTGGAAATGATATGCAAGAGAGCATCAAGTTCTGGAAGAAACACTTCTAGTGCATAAGCCCTGGAAAATGATGTAGAAATTCGCTCCTCAAAAATGCCCTGTGCCCAGGTTTAGGGGTTTTTTTGTTTGCTTTTGTCTGAGATACAGCCTTCCTCCAAACTTTTATTTCAAGTAACTTCATATACCTGGCATTTGAAAAATGTGAGAGCTGGTAGTAGCGGAATTTTCTGTTCACCAGCATGTCTATTCTTGCACATGACTAATGAAGTGAGTTCTGTCAAAATAATTGAACAATTTGACTCCAGTTGTTTGGCTTTTTTACAGTGGCAAAAAGCTTTTCCTAGAGAAAATCAGTTATAGAAATATTTGTTCTAAAATTATTCCCAGGTGTTACAGTATGCAGACACTGTGTTGACATTTTGATCCTTAAAAGATACAGAATAAGCTAAAGGTGGTGTGTACGTTGTTCTAGTTCTGAAGTTATGACTTGGAGCCAGTGAGACATGGTTTTGTGTGGATTATATCAGTTTTCTTCTGGTGCAGAGCCAAAGACATGGGGCTCTGATAAGTGCCAAATGAAGGTTTTTGCAACCACTTTGTAAGATGTATATATCCAGGGCTATAGATTGTAGTCAGAAATGTGGCACTGTTTCCTAATGCTTAATAAAGAGCTGCTTGGAAAATTTTGTAGGTATGAGATTTAATCTAATCATCGACTTCGAAAATTTACCTAATGCTTAATAGTACAGAGTGATCTATCTTCTTACATAAAACTTATTTCAAAGAATTCTCAGACTTGTGATTTTACTAGCTTGAGTAGGAAGATGCAAAAAAAAAAGCATTGGTAGATGGAGACCTACAAAACCATGGTGACATCTGCTTCTGTAAATTTATTTGTTGGGTACTTGTGTTTTCAATGTTGCTGTTGTAAACTAAGGGGGAAACTCACTAGGAGACTGGAAAACTGTTTTTCAGTTTTTAATGGGGTTGAACATCTATCTTCTACTCACCTTTTTTGTGTTGAAACCTTCTGCTTCTTAGCTGCTGCTGTCTCCTCAAGGACCATATGCAACTTGCCTGGTGCTGTTACCAGGAGGATAGACTCCTTGTTGTGTCAGATGTCATTTAATTTCACTGCTTAATTGTAACCATTTATATTCTGATCAATTTTTTGTTTTAAAAAGTATTTGTAAAGCATAAAGATTCATTTGGAGTCCTGAAGTTAAAATAGGAAGGACAGCTGGGTCTTACTTAAGTTTGAAATATGCAAGTCTGTGAAGCAACAAGCACCACCAGCAACAATAAAGCAATTCTAAAATGCACACAGCTGTCTATCAAGCAGCTTGGAATCGAGCTATTTGTAAGTCTTCTCTCTCAATTATACAAAATATTTATGAGATACAGACTAATTTTCTTTGACCGTTTTAGTCAAAGTAAACAAATGGTGTCTTGTCTCAAACCAATTAAATTTTTTTCTGTAGCAACTGGAGTGTTTACCTAGAACCATCTTGAGCGTTAGAGAGGAGTGATTTGATAAGGAGTGCTGTTGCCTGGAGTACTGTTCTGTTTTGTTTATGTATTTGATGTCTTTGCCCTCAATGGAATTTTTAACACTGTTTTATACTCCAGTGTAGGAATCTTCAAGGTCTCTTGAGCCTTTTTTGCATTAGAAACTTTATAAAATTTTTATCCATCTTCACTGGAAAAGGTCGGATTTTTAAACCTTAGAAGAATTGTTCTATCTTGAATGTGTAAATTCTAAAACCTCCTACACAGCAATTGCCTTAAGACAGTAATAATACTTGAAGATTTATAGCTAACTGTGAAATCTCTTTTCTGATAGCAGTGTCAGGTGCTTTGATGCCACAGGAACCAGTAATCTGTTACTTGACTTATATAATTAAATTATCATTTGACTTTAAGAATTACTAGCAATTTAGTAAATTACTACCTCTTTAAAAGAATAAAAAGTGGTCAAGCTGGAGTGCAGTGGTTAGCCTGTAGTTAGCAGATTTCTTTAATCAAAGCTTGAGTGTATGGATGATTTCCTTCAGCTGCATGGTTACAGTCCACTGTGGGATAAGTGGCACTATGTAAAGTCACACATCACTGTGTCCTTTTTCCCCTTGCTGGGCTGAGATATATTCCTTCAGTACTTGTTCAGCTGTTACAAAGAGGAGAGATTTCTTGTTTATATCGACAATTATTTTGTAATATTAAAGCTGCAAGATGGAATGACATGTTTAACAAAATTGGGACCTCTTATTTGGCCCATTTTTGGTATAGAAAGTGGAAAGCTGATTAAACCATTAAAAGCTTCCATTTATTTTATTTATAGAAATTCTTCTGAAGAATATTTTCTGGGAAGAAGGAATGCAGTGAGGAGAACGCATAGGAAAAAGCACAGCCTAAAACTCTGGTAGTATTTAAAATTGGTGTCTATGCTAATCTAATATGAGCTCACCACAGATCCCAAGGGAGCTTTATGCAGGATTCCAAAGAACCTTATTAACATCCAAAGTGTGTTGTTTATAATAAAAGTCAGGAGGTTTTCTTACTGAAAAAAAAATCATGTGCTTTTTATATTTGAGGAGGGGAAGAAAAATGCAGTGGATCACTTAACATTCTTTTTAATGATTTTATTAGTTTGTATGCATTCACTGTGGTCTAAGTTCAAATTTGCCTTTGTTCATGAACCTGAGCATTAAGCTAATTTATTTTTGTGAAAATGCACAATTAGCTCTAAACATTTAATAATTTTTATTTAATAGTGTAATTAAGTAATTAAAGCATTTGAATTTCTTCCTCTGTTTAATATTAATTATAAAGATTATATAAAGATATAATTGTTATGACTGATTTTTCTCTGAAATACTAAATGCACTCTGGTTGTGAAATAACTTGACTGCATTATTAAATACTGCTCTGGTAAGACTAGCTTACTTCACAGAGAAATCTGGCCTAGTCTGCTTCTCTTCCATATGTAGAAACTACAGAATTAGACCCAGGTTTGCAGGCATTGAGAAGTGAGTAGACTGAACTATTGAAAATATTTAAAGGAGAATACCAATAAAAGGCATAAAGCAGGCTGGAATGAAAGTAGTTGATTTAACCACTGGTTGGCCAGTCAGTAAGGGCTTACCAAGCAGTGATGAATTTCAAACAGCTACTAGAAAAAGGTATGTTTAAATCCCTGTAGTCTTACAGTTTTTCTTCCTGAACCTTTGGGAACACTTTGTTAGTGCAACGCAAGAGTACTTGATGTTCTGCTCACTTGGAGAGCTCCTCCTCTGAGAGGATCTCAGAGAGGATATGATTACTAGGATTTGGTTTTTGATTCTTGCTTATTCTGAAACTTTTGATTTTGATAGTTTGGGCAGAATGGTGCCAGTATGTCACTACAAGCAGGTAAGAACATATAGTGTAAAAACAATGAAATAGCATGAGATTCCTTTGAGCATTTATATGTGCAATCCTTGTGGGGTTTTTAATTTTTCTTGGCTGTGTGACAGACAAGAAGTCAAAAGAACCCAACAGTCTTATGATTACATTTTTCAAAATGAATTTTTAATAGAATCAGTATTGTATTAGAATTAAGAGATTAGACTTACTTTACCTTTGAACAGAACAGAAAATAATAGTATAATAAATTGGTTGTCTTGTTTTATCTAGATTATGTCAGTACGCAGCAGTTAATCTTTCCAACAAGATTATTTAGGTTGTTTTGTGTCTGTACTTTGCATTTCATGCTTATTTAAAAATAGGAAAAATATCCTTCACTATGCTACCTAATTTGTTGACAATACTTCAAAAAGTAATAGAAAAAGTCTGCATTTTGTGTTCATTACAGATTGTGTTGGTTTGAAAGTAAAACCAGTGCGAGACTCCAAGTCAGTAATACAATTTAATAGGAGAAAAGAGAAAAAATAAAATGCATGCAATAATATAAAAGAAACAACCACCAACACAGTCAGAAATACAACCTGACACCCTGTCAGTCAGGGTGTTGGTAGCAGTCCGTATAAATGGTGGCTGCAGTCCTCCTGGATGACAGATGTGATTCAGTTGAAACAGTGCTCCTGTAGAAGGTGCAGTTTTCCTCCGAAGATCCAGCGATGATGTGGAAAAGGTCCGACTTCCCTCTGGGTTCCAGTGGAAAGGACTGTCTTCACGTCCCAAACCCCAGTTTTTTATCTAGGTAGGAAAGGCTTGGCTCCTGCCCCTGGTTGGGGCATCTCCCAATGGGGTGATGTAATCTTATCAGTCACACAATAGGACTTAATGGCCTATTAACGGAATATGTCTTCTGGAGGAAGGATGGGTTGTGAAAAGATAAGGATGATCATCCCCCTGATTTTATCAGATGGCACATTAGCAGAGGATATCTCCCACAGAGATAAGGATCACCACCCCTCCCACATTTTAACAGATGGTGATAGAATACACATTTTTGCATTGGACCCCAGGACAGAGATCCTTAAATAATCAGATTTGCTAGGGTAGTTAGTTACTGTCAGTACCTTTAGGGTGTAGGTATCTTAATCATGATGTATCCCTGGAAACATGAAACTGAGGCTTATCAAGCCTGAGGCCATAATTGCTCAAACTAGCTAATCTCTACTGCTTCTGTTGTTTTGGGTACCAGAGCTTGTCATCAAACAATACAAAGCATGGCACAACAGTGTTGAAACTTGGGGCTAAGTTCAGTATTCCTCAACTGTAACAGCATCTGCTAAATGCACATAATTGCTTATAAAAACGTCATTGATTTCTAAACTTAAGATGCTGACAAACCTGTCTTGAGCAGCATACTTCTGTGGTCCATATATACTTAATTCTTGGGAACTCTTTTGGGCTGCAGTATATGGATTAATTTCTTCCTTTTGACAGTGCTTGTTGTCTGATAAACCTTTTTACCTTGAAAGATCCTCATTTTCAGAGAAGTTCTGGAGGTATTTCCTAGACAATTCCTAAGTCAAATCAAAGTTTTCATTTTAAGAATCAAAGGGAATGTTGGGGATCTTTTTCCCTTTAAAAGGAAAATGAAAAGGGAAATGTGCAACGATGCTGTGTGGGCTGACATAGATGTGCTCTGTGTGATATGAGGTTATTCTTTGTTTTGAAACAGGAGATCCTGAGAAGGAACTTAATCCAAAGAAGAAGATTTGGGAGCAAATCCAACCTGATCTTCGTACCAATGACCAGTGTGTTGCTACATACAAAGGAGTTCCATTTGAAGTGAAAGGGAAAGGAGTGTGCAGGGCAGAGACCATGGCAAACAGCGGAATTAAATAAATAAATGGCTATTAGAAACTTTTACAGATGTTGAAATGGAAAATGATGCAAGCACAATAAAAAACATGAAATGCATGGCTAAGATCTGTTTTGTTTGACTTCTTTCCCAGAATATGTTACATCTCCAACATTTTGACAATTCCGTCATTCACTGTCGTCCTTGAGGTTGTGTGTTGTCAGCAGTTATTAACCACTCAGTGCTCATAAATTAATTGCCAAGGCTTGTTTGTGGTGGGACCACAGGCAGGTGAGTAAATTTTCTGGACAGCTTGAAGGTGTAGAGCTTCTATTTAGCAAGAGCTTAAGGAAATAAAGGAAAATAATTGTGCTGTGTTCCTTGTGTGCTAATTGCAGGACTAGAAGTTCATTAGTGAGGACCACAATTGTCTTTATTCTTCTAGTCACTTTGTAATAGTTTTTGTCCTCTTCTTCCAGGCAGTTTTCAGATGTATTATATGTCTGCACCTTTGTTCTTGCCTGTGTTCTCTCTGTAGTCTGCAGTCAGTTGTAACTGGAAGATGAAACTATGGTGGTTTATGCCCTAGGATGTACAAGTGGACACACTAGGATGTACAAGTGGACACACTTTCATGTCCCCACAACTAAGCTGTTATAATTTCATTAAGATCAAAGCTGCCACTTTGATAAAATAGTTCTTTATCTAGTCCACCTAGGTATATCCTTCCAAATAGGTAGGACTAAGAACTAATTAATATCAGATTCCTGGAACTAATCGAAACCTAAAAAAAAAAAAAATCCAAAAAGCAACCAAACTAAAAAAATCCATTTCCAGTGCTCAAACAGGAATAAAATTATTGATTTTTGTTTTGTTTTGTTTTAATGTGCTTTTATGCAATGATGTTTTATACAAAAAGTGCTTTGGTTTTAACAGAAATAGCTTCTTCAGTTTTTGCAGTTAGAATTATTTCATAGTAATGTTGTACAAATAGTCATGTTGCTAGGCTATTATCTTCAAATTATTGTAATTTCTTTCAGTAATAGAAAATAAATATTTTGGATCAATTTACAATAACCCTTTAAAGTAGCTATTTAGAGATATTTCACGTATTTTTGCATATAATATTAAATTAATTTTTTGCTGTATAACCATTGAAACAGTAAATATTATTTTAACTACTGAAACTAAAAACAAGCTTGAGCCTTTCTTTCAGGCTTTGAACTTCATCCAGTAAGTGGAGAGAAAACAAAATGACAATGATATAAAATTAAAAGGAACATGCATAAAGAGATGAACAGATTTTCTTTTTGAATGGGTTTTGCTTGTCCCTGTAAACTGTTAGTTTTTCATGCATCTGGCTATAAGCAATAGTAATTAGTTCTTTTAAATCTGCTGTATAGCATTAAGCACATGGAACCCATTTTATCTGCCTTGTAAACTTTATATCCAATAATGTCGTATTAAATAAAATCCTTGTAGTTCAAGAACTCAGTTATAACTTATCTTGAATCATGGTAGGGAAATACTTTTACAATAGACAAATTTTAACTCTTAGTACCAGAGAGCTCTTTTTAGAAATGGAAGTTCAGAGGAAGTTCTGAAAGCAGAGACCCCCTGAGTCTGAACTCAAGCATTTTTTGCCTCTGTTCTTGGTTTTTGGAGTTTTTTTTATCTCTTAAAATTTTATTTTATTCTTCCAGATCTGTATTCTGTCTGAACTGGAATATACAGTCTGGTGTAGTGCAAAATCTCATTTGTAACTACACACATATTAGGAACGTGTCTTTGGAGCGCTAGCTTGCTTTGATTTTGTGGTTGAACCTAGGATTCTGAATGCAGTAGTGTGAGGTACTCTGTGCAAGGCAAGTAGTTTGATAAGGTAAAGAGATATATCTAGTTGCGTGTTCAAAGGTGTTTGGTATGGATGTGGAGTTCTGCAGTTGATGGCTTTTGTTCTTTTATTTCTATTAGGTGTTACCTACTGTAAAAAATAGACAAGTAAGCACCTTAAAGGTAATTTTATTCCTTGCTGTGTTTAAGTAGTACTTGATAATTATTTTTTCGTATAAAATTCAAGACCTTTCTTAAGACAATATTTCTTTCCTCTTTAATTATGCTGTTGTGGTTGGCTAGGAAGATATATTTATGCTGTACTGAACTCAAAAGTGACAGCAGGGTACTTGAGGCACTGTGCAAGTATGTTTCCTCATTGTATCCAGCCTCTTCTGCCTTGTCCGCATGAGTAAGTAGAACTGCAGTGAAATCCTTCCATGTGGGCCCCAGAAGTTCCTGTAATGAAGAGCAAATCTTAACTAGTTGTCTCTTATTTCTTTTCCCCACACCTATTTCATACACTTAGTACGTTAACAGACCAGTTACATGTATAGTTTTATCTTCCTGGCAGTAATCCAGTTCATGCTATCCAAATTGCTGAAATTTCTGGATCTTCTTTCCACCTTTCTGAGACAGCGACATCCACTTCCAGTGGAAATATGTGGTCATGAAGAGCTAGTAGTTCTGTGTTCCCTGGCTACAGATATTAACAGAATGTCTCCAGTTAAAAAATGTTCATGGAAATAAAGAAAAATGATTACTTAGCCATGTCACACATTAGTTTGAAATCAGTAGTTACCACATATCCATATTGCTATGCTGTTTACAGCTCTTGAAAATTTTTTTTGTAAAAACACCAAGTCACCTTTTGTTGAAGAAATGAACAATGAAGTTGGTGTAACACCAACTTCAGTTCCAGCTGAGATCCCTAAAACTGAACTCACCAATTCTGGAAAAACACAAATCAAATGCAACACCTTAATTAATGTGTCAGAGAATTTGTCTTCAGCTTCTGTGATTTATCTGATGGAGGAGAATGGAGAGAGAAAGCTGCTTTTCTTTAAGTATAGAAAATTTTAATAGGAATAAGAGAGGTTGGGCTTTAATTTACAGGTGTAAATGAAATTACAACTTTGGTGCAATCCTCTAACTCCTGTATATGACAAGAAGCCTACCTTGGTGATAAAGGACACTGCAGTGATCTTGACTTTACAACCTAAATGTTAAGGTATGTAAAACTACCTTAACAGATGTCTGTCTACTTTCAAGGTAAGTGGGGTGTTAAGAAGACCTGGTGTACTGATAGTGATTAATCTCTTTTAGACACTAGGGATGAAAAATACCAAATGCATACAAAATTTTCCCTTAAGCTGCCCAAGGAAGTCTTGAGTTGCCAGTTTCAGAAAGGAAGAATAGAATTTCGATTTGCTGAGGACTCAAAATCAATTATAATCTTTATTCTGAAATTAATATCTGCCACTCGCAATTCATTAGGCTGTTGTTGGAAAAAAAAATATTTCACTTTTCCAGTCAACTCTTCTGTAGCTATTGTCACCTGAAGATGAAAGAGTTGGCATCAGCGCAGAGACTTTTATTTATTTTTTGGTTACCTGGATGAGCTGAATTGTGTCATTGCCTTCATCTGGACACAGAGGCATGTCAGCCCTCAGGACCAAGAGAGCCAAGTGCAGGCCTTCCTCTCCGAAGTGCTGGGTCAGGGCTGCTCTCACTGTGTCTCTCACTTGCTCTTTGCTCAGAGCACTGTGAGGGTAGCTTGGAGTGTCCAGTACTCGAACATGGAGAGCTGACTCGCAGCCATTTCTCCGTATGAGCCCCGAAATGCAGCCGCTGCGTCCGAGGCTGCAGCGCGTGGTCACTGAGCTGGGGCAGAGACGGCTCTCAAAGTCTGAGCTGCCCAACAGGCTGTTCCCAGCAGCACTTTTGCCAGTCTGAGTTTTCCCAAGGACAACAAGGTTGATGGTCATCTCATGGCTCTCTGCCATTGTCTGCTTTTATCCACAAACCTGTCACTAAGTACAAATAACATAAGGTGCTTCAGATAATTTCATGGGGGGGAAGAAAAGAGGCAAGAATTTCCAATATTCAGTGTCTTTTGAGTGTTTTTTCCCTGCCTGAAATGTGAAAAGAGTTTTAGGAAGAAGCAAAATAAAGTTGTAGAAAGGCAACAGAGAAGGGCGGAGTTGGGAGCAACCAGTGGAAAACACTTGCTATTCTGGGAGAGTAGTAGGTTAGGAAAAGGAGGCAAACTAGAGAAGGAGAAAGAGAATGGTGACAAATAGGTGCTGCTGTTATTAAGTGAAAATGTTTCAGGATGAAATATTTCCTTGTTTTAAGAAAACAAATAGTCAAGAAGTAGGTTTTAAGGGAGCACTTTTTCACAGCAGAGAACAGCTTAAAATACCTCTTTCATCGGCTGCCACTGACATTGAAATACAAAGTAGTCTGAATGGGCTTTCTGATACAGATAAATATCTCAATTTATAAAAAGAAGAAGAGCTGAAATAGACAATCTCATGAAAATGAGGTTTTGGAAATGAAAACCAGCTTAATAGCACAGTAAGTGGAAAAGCAAAGCAAAGCAGTCTGGGAAAACAGAGCTAGGGAGTTGGCTTGGTATAATTTCCAGTTACTCTATTTGTTCATAAACAAGACCTCTCATTCTCTTTGTACTTTTCTGTAACCCAGTATCCAGAGGGGTTTTGTTGTGTGCTGATTATCTAACACGAAAACTTGTTATTTAAATAAATTGAGATGTGTTTCAGAAGGTAAAACCATAGTAGCAAATAGTGGATTTTAAGTTTCTGTATGTGATACGTGAGCTTCAGAAATAATTTTTTTTTTAAGATACTATGTTTAGATACTCATAGAGAGATCATAGATAATTTTAGACTGGCATTTCCTGTGATTAATTTATTTAGATTCCTGCTGTGAAGTTTAAGCTTTTTCTTTCATTATTTCCACACCTAAATCAATCTTTTGAAATAACTTCAATACAACACCAAAGATGCAAGAGCTAGTAATATACTTATTTTGTTACAGGCAACATTGAATATGTACATGGTAATCTGCCTTACTAAATTCACAGTGAGGTTTTTGTGGATTTTTCAGTGATCAATTTCCTTTTAAGAACGACATCTTATGAAATGGTAGTCTTCAGTTATTCATCAGTCTAGATATGCATTGTACACTTTATAGCATAATAATAGGAAGTAGTGGACATGGATTCATCCATTCCTTTTTGAAATCATAATCAAAGATTTGCTTACAAAATCTGTAAGCAGTCTATGCTTAAATACTAATATTAGTTTCATTTTGGGTCACTTACCTTATTTTCCCTTAATTTCTTCCGTCATTCAGGCTTAAACCACATGTGCAGCATAAAAAGGAGTTAATATGTGAACTTTGAAACTAACAGCAGCACCGTACCACGCTGAGACTGTTACGTACACATTGATCTGGTTAATCTATTACTGATAGATCCTCATTTAATTGCATATGTTTGGTCAATAATTGGCACTGTTGAATTTTTGTAACTTAGCTGCAAATACTGTTGTTGAAGTAATTTCTTCATCTTCATATGTGTATGTGAATAGCAAATGCACTCTCATTATTGCAATGAATTATTAATTGCAATATTTTCATAGCACAGTGTAAATCATTTGCAGATATAAAGATGTTTGCTTAACAAAGATGGATTAAAATAATAACAAATATATTAAAATACAGAAATTATTTGTGACCAGGAAGAAAACTGAAGGCTGCTTGCAGAACTGCCAGTCATGTGCATTAGCTGTTAGCCTAATACATTTCTCTTGCAAGCATCATTATTTGCCATGCTATAGTAGCATTAAAACCAGAGATAGAAGATTGTCCAGAAAGGACTTATCACTTGCTTTTTTGACAATTTTCCACAAGTGGAAAAGTAACCAATTAGAAAATAAATGCAAATTTGTGCTGTAATGACCAGGTTGTATTTATAGAATGGGAGAGTGGATGAGCTTGTCGTGTCTGTTCACAAGCATCAGCCATCTCTCTGTAAATCCCAGGGGGGTGCAGCCACAAGTTTACTCCAAGGGTATTCAGACACTTGTCAGTAAGAACACGAATCTGGTATGTAGGCTTTATGTGGTGGCAAGAGTAGAGGAATGTGCTTTCCAGAGCCCAGTCCTGCTGGGGACATTATCATCCGAGGTGTAGCTCTATGTGGGAGCCTGAAAGTGTTGGTTTACCACAGAACCAAGACTGCTCCTGCCAGCCACGGCAGTGAAAGGGGACTGTAGTTCCTCTAGAAGCCCATTATCTCCTGCTGTGAAGCCACAAGCACAACCAGTGCTCTGGCGGAAAGTAGGAGTGCCGTATGTAAATTCACATTATGAATGAGTGGATTGTTTGTGTATTGCTTGGCTGAAGGTGGCTGTGTGAAAAAATTTTGTTACTGAATCTTTTTAAGAACACATAGACAAGTGCTCTTGAGCCTGCCTATTTTAGTGAGAAATTAGACATGAAATCTTTCCCTGTATTGTGCATGTACCTGAGTGAACTTCTGATAGTTCCCACAGTCTTAGAGCTCTGTGCTGTGCACAGCCTTTGTGTCTCAAGGCACATTTATATATAAAGTGTATGGCAAGGTCCCTCATGTGCTGGTGAATACAAACTCAATACTGGTTAAGGAGTCACTCAATTGCAAAGCAGAAGGGTAGGCCAGTCTCATAAAATTATGGATCTTGACTTTGGTTAAATTGCCAGTGTAGATCTGTGCTTTTCATTGGACTGTTTCTTTGCAAAGTAATGCCCCATATGACATCTGAGGTCCTAGCAGTCACATCCAACTAGATAATTTAAGCTGGCATTGACAAGGATTTAGATTACCAAAAAATACCAGAAAAGCAGAAGTAGGGGAGTGTTGTATGCAAAATACAGCTTGCCCAGCTGGATGCAGAACAGGGCTTTTATAGTGGCAAGATGGCTGTAAAATTAAGAGTAGTGTAAATGAGGCACTACCTGAATGAGCTCTAAAACTTGGCTAAACAAATTTTTAAAAAGCATTCCTTTCCAGTACTATTGTGAATGGAATACAATCCAAGTTGGAACACATCTGGAAGGTCTTACAACTCCATGGGCAGAGGATTTTAAAAAGTTGTCTTCCTGGGAGGATATGACAGGGGGAAAAATCAAACTGATTTATATGACACTTGCATGGGTTCCTCAAACGTGGAAAAAGTCCTCCCCAAGGTGGCAGTATCAGCCTGCTCCACAGGTACTGTAAAACTCAGTTGGGGTCCCCTTGCTCTGCAGTCCTATGCTCAAATAAAATATGAGATCAGAAATGAGCTACAGCTTTAGAAAACACAGGATAATTACAGGACTCTTCAAGCATCTCCTGAGATATGAGATGCAAAAACAATTTTTCTCTCTTCTTTTGAAGAATTTGTCTCTCTTGTCTCTATTTTTATTTTACATATAAAATATAAACAGTAGCCCCGTAATTAATGAATTTGAACATCAGTAATGGAAAGGTAGCAGTTAGGAAACGAGTGCTTTTCACTGTTCCTTACATGACTCTTGAAAATTAAGATCTTTAGCTTTTAAGGTCTTTAGCTTTTCAGTCAGTGACAATTATTATGAGGCTTTATATATAAGATCTTAAAATCTACTGTCAGAACGTCATCTTGTACAGAGTACAATAAAGTTGCTTAGGATGCTTTTAAGCACTACTTGCTTCACCCACTGCTTGGGTGACCTATCTTTTTTGTTTGCTTTGCTTTTGTATTTCTTTATTTTTGAAATGGCAAAGAGAAAATCAAACCGAGTCTTTTACTGAGGCAGAAAGGGTTCTTGTAACTTAATAAAGGAAGCCTTGTACTGCTCCCATGGAAATACCAAGCAAGTCTAGAGGAATTTTCAGGAATCTAAGGAAGTAAAATCCTCAATCTAATTGCACATAAGGATCATTTCTGTATCTAGCATCTTTATTTGTCTTTGTATAAAACAAGGCTAAAATACCTTGCAAGTAGCCATTAATTTAGTGTTATCTATGGAGTTAACTAGAGTTGCATTTTAGTCACATTAGTGTGTCAGCTGCTGTTCTGTTGTAGGCCCTGTGATCACCCAGTTGGTTTGCACACACCCTAAACAAGCTCTCCCTGGTGTTTGTTGGGGTATACCAAGCAGGCTAGATCTTGTAAAACTGAAATAGCAGTTTCTCTTTAAGCACATGGTATCTCTTACCATGTGTCACCTTTCAGTTCCCACGCCTTCCCATCCCTTACAGCTTCTTTCCTGATGTGGGCTCTCATTTTAGCCCAAGATGATGCCATAATAAGTAATTTAAGATGTGCTTTGATGAATTTCTCTTACTTAGAAGAAACCCAGTGAGGCCATTTTATGGATTGCCACACACAAAGACAGGCTCTTAGCCTGCCCAAACAGCATGAGAAAGCCAAGAAGGTATGCAGTCCATGTAGTCGGTGTGGCTTCAGTTCTGTTAGATGTGTAATTTCTAAGAAACAGCAGGCACGTCACTGCTGAGAGAGAAATAGGACAGATTTAGCAGTGTTCTCCTTTTGGACTTCATTTGCACAAAAATCTTCTGATTCCAAAGGAAGCCACATATAAAGTACACTAAAGTTTCCCTAAAACATTTTTCCCCCCCTTGCTTAATGCAGTCCTTAGTATCCTTAGTATTTTTAAACATAAGTAATCAATTATCAGCAGTCTACAACATCATGTTTCTTTTTGCAGTATAAGTGGCTATGTAGGTTGTGTGCCACTAAGGGGAAATAGGCGGGATGTAGCTGCAGACTAAAGTTGAAATTGCACCAGCTTTTGGGGACTGTACAACTGTGGAAGCAGCTCCTCAAATTCCCACTGTACTTCTTACAGTGGATTATGGATTCAGGACAAATATTGCTGGAATCACTACGATCCGCAAGATATCTTGGTCTTTTTGTTGCAAATAATAGGCAACTTCAGATTAGAAAGCAGTGTATTTGCCATGCTCATCTGGTAAGGCTCTGCTGTGGAAGTGGCGCAGGAATCCCTTGCATTGGCACGAATGATAATCCTTTAAGCACTCTCCTTCTCCATGTGCTTAGAACAGCACTGTAACAAGCCACAGGAACTGAGTATTTTCTTGTTAGTATGGTTTGGTGTGACAAGGCTTTTCAAAATGTGGGGGAATGCAATGTAAAGTAGGACATGTCACTTACTGCTGCAGGCTGCCAGTTTCTTTATTTTCGTACTAACTCCCACCTTCTCCATCATTTAAGTGATGATTTTCCCCATGGCACTGTATCAATTTGTTTTTAATATGCAAGGAATGTTTTTAATATACCATATTGTGCTATGCTGTCTCTTGATCAGATTACTTAGAGATATTTCAACTACTTTGTTTTCACCTGTGTTGCCACGAAATGCTTCTCACGGAATAAAGGTTGGACATAAGCCACTAGTGCACAGGTCTGGCTATAAGAGTGTGCCACAAGGCTGGCGTGTTGGTGTCTGTTCATGGCTTCGTGTGAAAATGGAAAATAGGCCGAGAAATTAAGGTGATATTGCAAGGAAGACTATACAAGTATAAATAACATTTAAAAGCAACAACAATAGAATCACCACCAACAAACCAAATAGATAAACAGTTGATTTCAAAGGCACGTATGTGGGAAAGAAACAATAATCAGAAAGAGTGATAATATAGACTTAAGAATCCTTTATCTCCTTTTTCCCTTACATATGCTTAGTTGGATGAATTCTGTGACTTGCCTCATACATCTCCTGTTGTGACCATATGAGTCAGGATACCATGCTCATTCACTTTCTTGTGCTTGGCCTCAAAATGTGTCCATGTGTAAAAACATTTTGCCTCTGAGACAAAAGTCCTGTGAACAGTGAACATATTTGGAAGCTCAGGAAACCCAGATCTGGCTGTTATTTCTATAACACTCATTTCCTAATTCTGAGAACCTGCACAGTTTCTCAGTTTCCTCATCTAAATAATACATGGAGTGTCCACCTCTTTTGAAGATGTGTAGTGGGAGCGATTTAGCTGAAGGGGACAGATTTCTGTACAGTAATAACAGCATTGCTTGCATTAAAAAAAAAAAAAGTGTTTTTATCATATTGTAAGATGCTCTATAGGGACCCAAATGACTGAAGACATACTTTCCAAAAATATTCCCATGATGCCTGGAAAGGCTATAATCATTGTAACACTAGTATGCACAGAAGTTGTACTGATGCACAGAGTTGAACTGATCACACTGTTAATCTTATGCACTCTAAGCCATAAGAGATATTTCACAGAGTGCCAGTAATACAAGTTTTATAATATTTCATCTCAAGGATGTTTAAAATTTACATATTTCTACTCAATACCATGGGTATTTCTGTGTATTCAGGACAGATTTATTACTCAGTTCCTT